ATATATATATATATATATATATATATATATATATATATATATATATATAATAATAAATAATGTTCATGAGGTGAATTTTAATACTCCTAGAAGATGCATGATAGCAATGATGATAATAATTAGCATTGGAGTTTAACGAAAATAATAATAATAATGATAAGTAAAGTAAGAATTCTGAATGAACAAGTGAGAAACATTTAACGAGCGGATTCTCATGAGTCCGCTGGCGCAGAGGTAAACGAACCTCACTGCTTACATTGACCTAATCATAAGCCCTCAGCTTAAATAATAATCCAAATGTGAAATAAGACTCTACTCATTCTAATCCTTCGATAAACTCGAACATTCATTCTCCGAACTAACAAAGGCAAACCCATCACAACCATTTTTCTTCGTTTCAATTTCATACGTAATGATAATCACCATAATGATTTTACTAATGCAATACATATAACAATATAGTTACAATATAAATGAAAATAAAACATAAATAAAACCACAGCAATAACAAAAATATTATGAACACTATCATTATTATATGTACAACATATCATCAACATACCTTTGTGTCCTCCATTAGCTGTTCACGCCGCTCCAATTCGCCTTCCAACTTTTCCACTTGATTTTGTGCTTCTTCCCTCTACAAATATAACAGTAATAATAAATAACAACGATAATAAAAATAAAAATAATAAAAATAATAATAATAATGTAATAATAATAATAATAATAATAATGTAATTGTTATTTTAATAGTAATAAACAAATATATCAAAAGACAATACCTTCGTGAATGCTTCCTCCTCATTTTTCCTTCGTCTTTCCAGCTCCTTTTTGCGTCTAATCATCTCGACCCCTACCGCGGGTCCGGTTGATTCTGTCCGCAAAAAACTCTCCTGTGCACGTCTATATCCATCATCACGTGAATCCAGTAACGAACGAGCACGTATCAACTCTTGTTGTGTATCTTTCTGTTAATTATAGCAATAATTATGATGATAATAATAATGATAATGATAATAATATAATAATAATCAAACACACCAACTGTTTCGCAACACGCATCCACTCATTCTTCAATGCTCTTCGTTGCCTTTCATGATCGTCACGTCTCATCTCGAGTGACTGCAAATCACTTCATTAATAGCAATAAAAATAAAACATTAATTATCATTGGCAGTTCAATTGTAACCTTAATAAATCGATCCTGAATGTGTTTAACAGCATCATAGGTCTGCTCACAAAACGCGACATCATTATCGAAACTGCTTTCGAACACATCTCGCAGAGGTAAAAAATGCTGAATATATACTTATTTCCCGCTAATCATAATAATAATGACAATAATAAATAACAAAGATAATAAAAACAACAACGGATAAAAACACCAACCTCATTAATTGCAACTTTAGACTGATTAGCTAAAGAGTGCACCTTTTTTGCATGATCTAACTCTAACTGAACACGACGCGACACAAAATTCAACAATTCTTTGCAATACTTTGACCACGCTTTAAATAATAATGATATCATAACAGTAAAACATATACTATTGCAATAATGAGGCCAAGAACAACTTTTATTACTACTACTGTTATTCATTATTATCGCCCACGCTATTGGCACAATCTACATTTGGATTGGATCGACGGCAAAGTAAGGCTCGATGTTATTGGCCTGATGGACTGGGGAGTAAGGTGGATGACAACGAAAATCTTATCGATGTTCGACGGCCCGGAGTCCATCCGAATGCACACCAACCGAATCAATATAATATCAACGACAAATTCATATTATAATAAACAATTCGAATGAATAAAGAATATATATCTAATGAGCAACACATTTCTTGCAAAAACAATACCTTTGCCGCGATCAAATGCAATATCGATACCATCCGCTCGATCAGCAACCATTTTATCTATTTCATCGATGTCGTATTCTGTTTTTAATTATTATCATCACTTAGCAATATTATAATTTAACATAAATATCACTTGTTTTCATCGTTTTTACTGCTTTTCATTACAATTTTATCATTATTACCATTGATATTCTTACTACTATTATTATTATCACTATTATTATTATTTTATTATTATTAGCAATAATAATAATACTAACAATAATAATAATACTGTCAATAATAATCAAATTGAAAATACCGTTATCTTGCGCGCTTCTTTGATATGTTGAATGTCGCCTTGTCAACACACCACGTCCGTTCCTTAGACCGCCACTACCAGCTTGATCATTACTACACTAAAACACATGTTTTATGTTGATAACATAAAAAAATGAAATACTCACAGATTAAAACTGAATATATGAATAAGCACACAACTATGACATGAATGAATGCAATCCCACCAACACGCAAACGTCCCTTCGAAACACCCAAACAACTAACGCAAATTCTCGACTCAGTTTGTCTACTTGACAGGAAGCGCCGTTACATGCAAACAATAGATCGAATAACGGTGATTATTACTATCAGTACTATCATTATAACTATTATTATCATTATCATCGTATTAATACTAGCAAGGTTCTTATTACATTTAGTAATAATAATAATAATAATAATAATAATAATAATAGTAATAATAATAATAATAATAATAAT